AACAAGGAGGGAGGAGCCGGAGATTTATGACATGTTCAAGAAAAGGAGACAGACATCTCATCCTCCAATAGGCTCTGGCGGGGAGACCGGTGCATTGTCCCTGTGCTCACCAGCACAGACAGATGCAGCAGGGGCAGGCTGTACAGGGTCGTGCTCTTCCAGTCCATGCGAGGAAGTCACTGGCCTGAGCAGCCTCGGAAAGGTCCTACCGGGAAGGATGCTCACTGAATACAAGAAGCCTTTAGCTAAAGGTTCTGGAGTGTCCTATGGGCTGGAGAATGATGAATCAAAGTGGGATAGACGAGCAGAGACTAGAAGGCAAATCTCTCACATGCCAAAGATCTTTTGGTCAAAGATCACCAAGGGCATCTGAGACAGTCTCCACTGGCTCCAGGCCTGCCCTTGAACTCACTATGGAACCCAGGCACACATGAGACTGCCAGGTGCTAGGATTACAACCATGTATCACTGTGCCCTGCTAGACATAGCTGTAACTGATTACATGAAGATCATTACGCATCACAGCGCAGCAGAATGGATACCAGGTTGAACTCTGGTCTGTCTCTGAAAAGAGCATTAGAAAGAAGCTATTATTGGGACATAGACTTCAGCTGAGTAAATCAGGAGAAGGTGCAAGGAAACAGAAAGTTGCTGTAAACTGAATGCTGTCAGAAAGCCAAGGAACTGGGGGCCTGCCTCAGGTACTGCCACATTTGCCTAGCAAGCTCAAGGCCCTGAGTTCAATCCCAGGGCCACCAAACAATAAAAATAAACGGTTGAGTATAGCTCCCTGTCAACTACTTTGCTTTCCACATTTCAAGTTTCCCACAGTCAAGTAATATGTGACAATATTAAATGGAGAATTCCAGAAAAAAAATTCATAATACTTAAATCACTTTTGTGACGGTGTATTGTGATAACTGTTCTATCTTTATTAATAGTTGTTGTTCAACTCTTACTGTACCTGATTTAGAAGTTGAAATTCATCACAGATAGGTATAAGAAAAAGCACTTTTTGTTTGTGTTTTTAACTGTATTTTTTGTCTTTTCTTTTTTGGTACTGGGATCGAATCCATGACGTTGCACTTGCTAGGCAAGTGCTTTGCCACTGAGCTACATCCCAGCCCAGAAGAAAAAGCATTTTATATACAAGGTGTGGTACCACCCATGGTTTCAAGTGTCCATTGAGAGTTTCCTAGTTCATCTTACCTGCAGGGAAGACAACATGGGATAAGAGGAAGCTGTAGTTAGGAAAGAAGCAGACTTGTGTAATGAGGTAGGCAGGTGCTTGGTATTTTTTGGGTGGCCTCATCTACCGAAGATGTTCTGTGAGACCGTTTATGTCCAATAGAACAGAGTGGTTAGCTGTAAGCATCGTCTGGGTTTGCAATAACACTGGGGCCTCACTGTTAATGTCAGGTCAATTTGTAATAACACTGTGGTTGGGCTGTGAAGTTGGCTTCGTTCCTGGAGAGCAAGGGCTGCTTTCCTCTTTTTTCTCATGAGCCAGTGAAGACGCAACAGCTCCTTCAAGAAACCAACACCTGGGCCCAATAAGAGAGGTCTGTTGGAGACCTGCCTCGTGCTAATTATCCATGATTAGTCAAATTACCAGACAAGAAACAGAAAACAATAATGAAAGGATTGGAAATAGTCAGATTCACAGAGAAGCAGCACTTCCTCCCCTCCCCAGATCTCCTTGGTCCTAGCCTCAGGAGGAGACAAAAGAAAGACCAGAGAGAAGGAAGGAGATAAAGACAGGTCCTGATCTTAAAGTCACTCAACTAGCTGGTTACAAGGTGGATGTACTAGTTAGCGAGTACTGCTATAAAAAAAATACCATAAACTTAAACATCAGAAATAGTCTTCAACTAGACACTAGTCCCATTGAATTAGGGCCCCACCCCAACCATCTCATTCTAACTTCATTATGTCCTTAAAAGCCTCTGTCTGCAAATACAGCCATATTTTGATGTACTAGGGACTAGGCTTCAATCGATGACCTTAAGGAAGTAAGAAACACTATTCAGCCCCAAGCAGGTCTGTTTTTACTTTCTGTTTCATAGTTCTTTTTTGTTTGTTTGTGCTTATACCTGGGCTTGAATGCAAGTCCCTGGAGTTCACACTCAGCTTGACTGCTCAAAGGCGGTGCTCTGCCACTCGACCCATACCTCCAGCCCTTCTGTTTCTTCTTGAGTTAGTGTTAGTAGCCTATGCATGCACAAAGACCTGCCCGTGTAATTAGGCTCCATGAGGGTGGCCAATTACAAGCCAAGAAGGTAGGCCTAGAACAGAGCTTTCCCTTAGGGCCCTCCAAGGGAACTAACACTGATAACATCTTCACCTCAGGCTCCCAGACAATGAGAACATCCATTTCTGTTAAGACCTAGGGACTTAGCAGCCTTGGCAAACTAATAGAGAACCATAATTGAGAACTAGGCATGATGGCGCATGCCTGAATGCATCCTGCCACTCAGGAAGCTGATGGGGAAGGATAAAAGAATATAGGGCCAGCTTGGGTTATCTAACTGTACAGTAAGATGGGGATCTCAAAAACCAAGGAGAGAGAGAAAAAAAAAGATGAAAGGGACAGAGGCAGAGACAAAGATAGCAAGTGACACAAAAAGTTGTGGCTCAGTGGTAGAGTGCTTGCTTGCATGCATGAGGCCCTTAGCATCGATTCCTTAGCACCACATAAACAAAAAGCCGGTAGTGGTGTTGTGGCTCAAATGCTAACTTTGAGCACAGAGAAGCTCAGGGACAGTGCCCAGACCTCAGGACCGGCAAAATAAAAAAAAAAAAGTAACAACAACAACAAAAATGAACAAACAAAATCTTCCAGGAAGATTTTGATTTTTCCCTTCCTGGTTGCCTCCTCCCTGTCTTGACCCCAAACAGCATATCCTGACATGACCTTACCAGCAAACTACTTGCTCGGGAGTGTAGAGGTTGCTTCTGGAACTCTAACAGATAATAGGCCATAGAATACCATTAGTAGAACATAACCAGCAAATGAATATAGGAAACAATGCATCTTGATTCGGGTTTGACAGGCATTGTGAACTGGGCCATGTCAACTGCATCAATCACTGTGGGACAAAGGTAAGATTATTTAGGAAAACTCTGATCTAAAGACTTCATTGTTTTTTGGTTTTTTGTTTTTTTCAGGTAAGGGATAGGTTTATTCAGTAGACCTGCTGGGACCAGACAAGGTTGGCACTCCACACGGCTGGGAAAGGCCTGGGAAAGACCTGGGAAAGAGAGCTGGGAATGAGAGCTGGGAAAGAGCTGGGAAAGAGAGGTGGGAAAGAGAGAGCTGGAGACTTCATTGCTTTTTAAACAATTGTCACATCAGCAGTCTCTGAAAAAAAGGCATCACCTTTCTAGAATATGCTAAAAAGGGGCCAAACGCAGTACTATGTTTTCTAGAGTGTTTGATTCTCATCTCCCATTTTTTTAATCAAGGAATTTTCAAAAACAATTTGCAATAATAACCCTAGGGAAACAGGTGAGGATAAGTTCATACATTGCTGCGTGGCTGTGAACAGCTGGCTTTCAACTAGCCATCCTATAAACCTAAAGATCACGCCAAGAAAAAAAAAATCTAGACGGGACATGCAGAGCAATGCACACTGTTGTATTTAATGTTCAGTCTTAAAATGGAAACAACTTTAGTGCCTGCAAAGAAAGGGTTTAGTGGGCCCAGATTCTTGGGGTAAGCCTTTGGAGTTGTTTGAGGAACTGTCCATCATGTGTCTCAATAACCATATGGGGATGTTAGTGAAAATGAGGAGACTTTGGGTGCGTCTATGCTCCTCCACTGAGAAGCTGGACTCCATGCTACCCCAGCTACACACTACTCTGTTTTGCTCAACAGAGGCTTGATGGAGACCCAAGCCAATGATTCAGCCCTCACTTGAGTTCCAGTGTCACACTTAAAATTTTTCTTGAAAGGGGCTGGGAAGGTGGCTCAGTAGTAGAGTGCTTGCCTTGCATGCTTGAGGCTCTGGGTTCGATTCCTCAGCACCACATAAGCAAAAAAAAAAGCTGGAAGTGGTGCTGTGGCTCAAGTGGTAGAGCGCTAGCCTTAAGCTGAAGAGCTGAGGGACAGCGCCCAGGCCCAGAGTTCAGGCCCCACGACTGGACCCAAAAAATAAAATAAAATAAAAATTTTCTTGAAATAAGATAGCACAGGTAGCAGCAGAGGGGGTGAGGTTCTGAAGACCCCCCCCCAAAAAAAGTGGTTGGTAGAGAATTGTCCTTACCACAAAAATCACACTAAGCCTATGACCCCAAATCCACATTTCAAAAATAATAATAATGTTCTAAATGCAGCAGTGGTACTCACTAGACATTATGTTGAAAATGAACTACACAACTTGTGGGTGCCGATGGGAGGGAAAAACTGGGAGAGAGCCAGGGAAAGCGTTGACAGTGTCCAAAAAGAAATATACTTTTTACCTGACTTATGTAACTGTCACCCCTCTTTGCATCAGCTTGGTAATAACAATAAAAAATTAAATGCAAAAAAAATAGCTATGCCAAACTTAAAAAAAAAATAGTCTTGTTCTTTAAAGAGCTTCTTCCCAAAGCACAGAGTAATCCGTATTCAAGCATCCCAGACCTACGGAACATTCTGAAAGTCATAGTTGCTGTTCACAGTTTTCAAAAATAAATAAATAAAAGGTTAAAAAAAAAAAAAAAAAGCTGCCCCACCAAGGCACGGCCGCGATCCCTGGAGGTCTCAGGCTTTCCAGGAGCCCGCAGGGGCGCGGTGACCCAGCTTGGTGCCTGAGCTCCAACGTCTGGGACCGCGGCCAGCCGCCGCCGCCGCCGGCGCCCCGCCGCACCCCACCAGCAGGAGCGCACGCGGGCCCCGCGGCCCGGGGGAGGGCTTCCCGCGGGCGGGCCGGGCGGGGCAGGCGCGCTCCGGCCGCCCCGGGGGAGGGGTTCCCGCGGACCAGCCGGGGCCCGGCCGGGCCGGGCCGGGTGGGGCGGCGTGTTTTAAGTCGCCGATCCGACCCGACGCGCTCACTCGCGCGCCAGGCCACCGCCACTCGCCATGGAGCGCTCCCCGCTGTGCGCCCTGCTCCTCGGAGCCGCCGGGCTGCTGCTCCTGCTCCTGCCCCTCTCCTCTTCCTCCTCTTCGGACGCCTGCGGCCCCTGCGAGCAGGCCACCTGCCCGCCGCTGCCCCCGCTCGGCTGCCAGCTCGGGGAGACGCGCGACGCGTGCGGCTGCTGCCCGGTGTGCGCCCGCGGCGAGGGCGAGCCGTGCGGCGGCGGCGGCGCCGACAGGGGGCACTGCGCGCAGGGCATGGAGTGCGTGAAGAGCCGCAAGAGACGGAAGGGCAAAGCTGGGGCGGCAGCCGGCGGCCCCGTGGTGAGCGGCGTGTGCGTGTGCAAGGCGCGCTACCCGGTGTGCGGCAGCGACGGCACCACCTATCCCAACGCCTGCCAGCTGCGCGCCGCCAGCCTGAAGGCCGAGAGCCGCGGGGAGAAGGCCATCACCCAGATCAGCAAGGGCACCTGCGAGCAAGGTGGGCACCTGCGCGGTCCTTCTGCGCCTGCGCGCGTGCGTGCTCGGGTCACCCCCGACGGGGCGGCCGCCTGGTACCCGCCGTGGTGCTCGGGCCACCCCCGACGGGGCGGCCGCCTGGCACCTGCGATGGCTCTCCAGAGCAAACTTGGAGACGCACAGGAGAGGAAGAGTTGGCAGCCATCCCGAGGCCAACAGCCACGGGCGATGCTAGCCTGCCTCTTTGGGGTTTTGTTGGTTTTGGTGGTGGAGGCGGTATTGGCTTTATTTAAGGTTTGGTACATGCGCCAAGAAAGTGAGAAATCACAGAACCCAGGGTATAAATAGCAGAGTTTCCAAGACCTCAGGCTCTGCCATCTCCAACCTCCCCCAAGCTGGTCCTCAACAGCTGGCAAAGCCATTCACCAGCGCTGCACCCACGGTTTTGGGAAGCCAGAGATGGCTTTGTTTTCTCTCTCTCTCTCTTTATTCTGGGGAGAGGGAGGAGTTTTCATAGCGAAGTACTTTTTAGAAAGTTGTTTGTTCCTCGTTCTTTGCCCAGATTTTGTACTTTAAAATGAGGTTTTCTATTTCTTAATAGGCACTTTAACACGTTTTCTGCCAGTACCCAAACAGTAATCTAGCTAGCTAATTACACTTGTGGGCCAAAAATAAAAACTCTTTGAGCAAAACTTTAATGATGTAGTTTATGTTGTGGACTTTATGACCATTTTGGTTTTCCCTTCTTGTTCTTTTATTTATTTGTTTTGTTTTTTTTCTGGGGCACAATTTGTCTCCAGGATGCAGCAATGCTTTTGAGATTGGGTTTGACTGTTTGTTTTATTCCATACAAGCCCAAACTTGCCATAAACGAAATGAGAAAAATAAAGTCTGCACTTGGAGAAAAATATTAAGTCTAACGCCTAAAATAACAGTTTCCATCAACAGTAATTTCAAGGGAAACTTAGAAATCTGAGCCTGCCAGTTCCTTTCCTAGTCCTAGCCAAGGTAGGGAAGGCAGGAAAGGCAATTATTTGACAGAGAGAAGCTGTTGCTTCTTCACACTTTCTCCAAATTTCCAAACAATTCTTTCCTTAGAGCTTTTCCCAGAAGTCCATCTGTTAATAGGTTACATGTCTCCATTTCGAAGTTCACCACTGGAAATCTTCCATGGCGTAACTTACTGTGGGCTATTTTACAGTCCTCTTAAGCTTCACAGCCCCACTTTATACATGCATATGTTCCAGCAGCAATAGCTCTTTATGCTTTTGGATTTCATGATGTGATGTATCAGACACATCATAAAAAGAGGCATTTGCGCTGTTTAAGAATTCATCTAAATATTGAGATTCCAAAGGGAATTTTCTCCACAATCTAATCAAAGCAGAACATTTAGCTGGGTGGTGGTGGCTCCCACCTGTATTCCTAGCTCCTCAGGAAGTACAGATCTGAGGATCCGCATTCCAAGTCATCCCACACAGACAGATCCAGAGAGCCTCTCATCTCCAAGGAGCCAGCAAAAAGTCAGGAGTGGCTCAAGTTGTAGAGTGCCAGTCTTGAGCAAAAATCCATACCAGAGTGGGAGGCCTTGAGTTCAAACCCCAGTACTGGTTGCAGGGTGGAAAGGAGAAGACAAGAGCATTAGCCTGGCAATTTTCTTTAGGCATTGTTATTTGATCTGCAGTTTTATCCCATTTGCTTTCCTGCTTCTTAATTCCACCACCCCTCAATACAGAAGAATGGTACACATTAAGACTGGTGTTCATCCAAAGCTAAGGCTTCATTTTCCATGTATCTCCAGCTTCTCCAAAAGTCCTTGCTTTTCCTTACACCTGTGAGAGGTTAGTATAAACAGCATATGAAACTGGAAACCTTGATGTAAATTAATTAGCCTTTCCTCCCACCCTGATCTGAGAGGTTGTAGGAGGAGTGGGGGGGGGGCACAGGTGGGAGGGAGAGAGAGAGGGAGAGAAAGAGAGAAACAGAAGAGACACAGAATGAGATAGAAACCAAGTCTCCTGGTATATTTCTGTTGAATCTTGGGTGTGCTTTGACAATGATTCGCAAATAGAATTTGCTAATAACAATTTGCTAGTGACAATTAGAAACCAACTAGACAGAGCACAGTTTACCTCTATGTCATTTAAACTGGAGCTTTGCAAAGGATAAGAAATGCATTTTCTAGTGTGCTCCAGCTATTTCTGCCCTCAGAAGAAAGTTGAATTATATTTGACTCTTGTGGGAAAGGAAGCATTGTAAGACTCAGCCCCAACAGTGTACATTTATTAAATCTCATTTAACATACATTGTTGAGAAGATAGAAGCTTGTCTGCACTGTGCTAGATACTACGTGGGCATAAAGAAAATCTGGTCCTCCTAATTAGGAAAGCGCATGTACAGGTTGCAGTTTCTGAGTGCATTTCCCCTTGAGCCCTGAACCCTCGCTCTGCCCTCAATCTTCTCCTTCTTTCCTGAGAGGATCATCATTTACTCAGCTCCAGATAGTGAGCTTGTCCTTCTTCTTCCTCTTCCTCTGCAGTAGAAGGCAAAGCCATTTGCCTAAAAATCTGTTTGAAAGGCAGTGAGGTAATCATCTCAGATCCTGGAACTGTCATCATGAATTTAGAGCCATTAGATGTTACTGCCATGCCTGAAATCCTAGGTAACTAGAATGGGGGAATCTGATCATTCAGTTTAATAAAAAGAAGTTGATACAACGAAGCTGAGACATGATATAAAAATACAGTGTTGAAAGAGATCCTGATGCTTCTCTATTCCAGTTTCTGGATACATCTTTGCTCATGGTTCTTGAAATCTTTTTTATCTTTGGTAAACACATTTCAGACACTTTGATATTTTGGAATATGATTGCCTCTCCTCTCTAAGTTAATTTTTATTTATGGTACTAGAATATCATTCCTAACTGTCTTTCTTCTGAGTACCTCTAGGATCAAGTTCAACTATCCACTTGAGCACAGAAGGATCTTCACAACATAATGCCATTCTGCCAAACACAGTGGCTCACACTTGTAATCCTAGCCATTTAGAAAGCTAAAATCTGAGGATCATGGTTTTAAGCCAGCCCAGGCAAGAGAGTCTCTGAAACTCTTATCTCAAATGAATCATCAAAAACCAGAAGTGGACCTGTGTCTCAAGTAGAAGAGTATCAGCCTTAGGTACAAAAGCTAAATGACAGCACTCAGGCCCTGAGTTCAAACCTCAGAACTGGCACTCCAAACAAACGGATATATCCATTCGCATTCTATTATGTTGGCCTCTTCTCTTCTGTTCTTGTGTTATCTCAACACATCTTAATTCTTCTTGGTTCCATGCCTTTGTAAATGCTGTGCCTTCTGCCTGGAATGCTTCCCTGCCTACACCTGACTATACACACACATTCTTCACACCTTCTATGCTTATCTTCCTACCCCTCATCTAGCCTGCTCAGATATTGTCACTTCCTTTGTACACACACACACACACACACACAATTACCATGTTATTCTCCTAACATTGTTCAGCATTTAGCCACTGAAGAAAACCGTGTCGTTTTATGACAGCATGGATGAACCTGGACGACATCTTTTTTTTTTTTTTTTTTTGGTCATGGGGCTTGAACTCTGGGCCTGGGCTCTGTCCCTCAACTCTTCAGCTCAAAGCTAGCATTCTACCACTTGAGCCACAGCACCACCGGTTTTCTGAGTGGTTTATTGGAGATAAGAGTCTCACAGACTTTCCTGCCTGGGCTGGCTTTGAATTACAATCCTCAGGTCTCAGCCTCCTGAGTAGGTAGAATGCTAGATACAGGTGTGAGCCACTGGCGCCTGGTGACATCTTAACTGAAACAATCCAGCCATGGAAAGACAGATACATGATGTGAAACCTCATATGTGAAACCTAAAAAGCTAAACTCATAGGAACAGCTAGTAAAGTGGGGCTGAGGTGGGGTTGGGGCTCTGAGCTGTTGGAAAAGGACACAAAATCTTAGTTCTGGGTTCCTTCCAGAATTCAGGAGCTCTGTTACACATCACAATGATGTTCCTTATTAGCAATATATTATATGCTTTAAAAATTGCCAAGAGACTTAATGTAGAAAGAAAGAAATGAGAGAGAGAGAGAAAGAGAGAGAGAGAGAGAGAGAGACAAGGGAAGGAAGAGGGAAGGAGGGAAGGACGGATGGAGGGAGGGAGGGAAGGACGGAGGGAAAGGAGAAAAAGACAAGCAAGCACTTGAAAGCCAGGTACGTGAGGCTTATGCCTATAATCCTAGCTACTTAGAGACTGCCACTGGGAGGACTGAGGTTTGAAGCCAAGCCAGACATATACATAGGATTCCCCTTCTCAACCAGTAATGAGACATAAGGATGCACACCTACCATCCTATAGGACAGGAGGACTGAAGTGGGCAAATGGAGGTCCAGGCCTACACCCAGGCAAAAAGCAAGTCTGTCTCAAAAATAACTAGTGCAATCCAGGCACAAGCATCTCATGCCTAAAGTCTTAGCTACTGAGAACTGAGGATCAAAGTTCAAAGCCAGCCTGGGCAGGAAAGTTTGTAAGATTTTTTTAAAGTTTTTTATTGTGAAAATACTATACAGAGGGGTTACAATTACATGAGCAAAGTAATAAGTACATTTCTTATCAAGCATTGTTCCTCCTCCTTTGTTTTTCCCCTACCATTCCTGCCCTCCCATCTCCATGACTACACTCCCCCCACAAAGTTGTAAAGTTCGTTTTTCAACATAGTATTTTGTACATCTCATTGTTGCACTGAGTCCACCTGTATCCCTGTTTAAACAATGTGTTTTTTTTCCCTTCCCTTCTCCAAATTATACCAACCTCAAATACAGTGAAAACAGGGATTATACCATGGGGGAGGGACATACAAAGCAACAAATCACCTTATAAATATGTTAGAAATAATAGCAAGAATGAAAAAACCACTTGTGTCCTTATCTTGGGGTTCATTTTCCCTAACCTCATCTTATCTGACCTTTTCTGCTTGTCTCAGACATATACTAGT